GAGGGTGGAGGGTGAGAAGAGGAAGAGGAGCAGAAAAAATAACTACTAGGTACTAGGTTTAATATGTGGGTAATGCAACAATCTGTACAACAAACCCCTGTGAGGTGAGTTTACCTGTATAAGAAACCTTCACATGTACCCTGTGAACCTAAAATAAAAGTTAAAAGAAAAACTCTTATGGCTTAAAGTAGTTTCTGTTCCTTGTAATCAAATATTCCCTAAAAGAAAAAGGTAACTGTAATCATTTGTAATTGTTTAATGTAAAAGATCACTTTTTTGACACTCTGAATCCAAAATGTACTTACTGAAATTGACTGGAAAAAAGTCAGAAATAAGGAGGAATATGTGACATCAGCCAATTTTCTCTTCTATCATATTTGTGTAACACAGGACATGGCTAGCCCTAACCCAACCATGAAATAGCCTTAATGTACTCCTATTCCCTTCATTCCCTCTCCTCTCACTCTCAATGACTTTCAGTGTGTTCACTGGACTGCCCTTAAGTCCTGAACAGTCTCTGCATATGCTGCATCTTTCTTACCAGTAACCATAAATCAAAAGTTAACTACTATCCTCTGACCCAAATCTCTCATTTTTGTTTCCTAAAGAAGCAGCTAGATATGCTGATACATTAACCCAAGCCAAAATGTTAATTGGCTAACATAAAGGAAGTTCTCTTTTTCATTCCTGGAAACATATTATACATGGATCTTAAGAGAAAAGTGCTTAATTAAAATGAGTAAAACTAGTGGTGGGAAATTTTCACACTGAATAAAGTAGTAGGATAAATAATTTTTATAAAGGCATTCACTTGTGTTATCTTTTATATGATAATTGCACTGCATATACAATACCAAATTTGTAATAGAAGAAAAGGGCTAAAGAAGGACTATATATTCTTGACACATTTAAAATTATTGAGCGGTCCTCTCTGTATTTCAGCAAAATTGGTTTCTAAGCTAAAAATAAAAATACAGCTTAATATATTCAAAATTATAATCAAATGTTAGAACAAGAAAATCAGTCAGAAATGCTCAGTCAACTAACTGAGATTATCACCTCTGTATGCTAATCTTGTGTGTTTAATTAACAGATAAAGCATAAGGGGGTATTCTAAACAATAGTATATGAAAATGAAAAAAGTAAATTTTCAAGCTCTAATTAAATCAAGAAGTAATAACAAAATGCTGCTGTATTTCAGCAACTGTTCATTAAATGACGAAAACCTCTTGGTTTGTCTTTCTAAAATTATATTCCACAGCCTTCAGAACCCTCTTCTGTTTTTGCTCATTACAGAGTCCAGATGCTGAATATAAGCTTAGCCATCACACCAAATACTATTTGGCCTTCTGCCCTGACTTTCCTAGCTAATCAGAAGATACCTCTATTGTGCAAGGCAGTAGAGTAGATTCAGTGTGTGGGATTCATTGAGAATATAAAAACCATACATGAATGCCATTATCACATATATCAAGTATAATGTCAATCCTGAATCCCCTAACTTCAAAACCAGAATATTCTTTATAGAGTGACATCTAACCATCTAGGAACATCCCTTTGTAAGTAAACATACACATACCACATGTACACTAACCATCAAGTTTATCAGTGTATTTTAAACAGTTTATAAAGTACAAGTAGGAAAGAAAATTTCACACTGGCCTGTAGAATAGTTTTAAAGAAAATGCCGTTGATTAAAACTAACCCAAAATTCCAACTATACAACAATCCTTAAGCTGTAAACAGAAACAGTTTCCATTAGAAACTTAAAGTAGCAAGAGAACTCTTCTCAAGTTACATGGAAATTAAAACAAGAACATTTCTAAATGCAAGTCATTTCTTAATGCAGTAACCTCTTTCCATTTTATAGCTGTCATAATTGTTTTCCTATAATGAAACATTGCTCTTCTCGTCTCATATTAATCAAAACAAAGCTAAAGAAAGAATATGTGTCCCTCAAAAGTTAAAAATATTATTTTGGGAAAAGAAAATTGGAAATATTTTCAAGTTTGTATTGAGTTCCGGTGACCTCCAATCAGTGAACAGGACAAAATTTGTAAGTTAATAAATAATGTAAAGCAGATTTGAAATATTTGCTTGGATTTATTGGACACAGACTTTGTAATGCATAGATGTGCATTTATTTTTGTTATGTTTTGGCATATCAAAAATGGGACTTAGTACCTTTGCTCATTACCTGAAAAACAAAACGAACTTTTAATTATGTTTTACATTGTTTTAATTAATTTTTGAAATGCTTCATTAGAAATTTTTTCAGTGAGGAAAAAACTTTTAACTATATCAAATCCTATATGTTTTTCTTTGATATTTCTTAGGAGCAAAAACACAATCTATGTCTTAACTCTAAATCAAGAAAAATTCTATTGCAATGACTACTATTCCCGAATAAAGAGCTGCATAGGCTGGCACATAGAAACAGGGTTCTACAGCACTTTTCACTACTAAGAAAATTTCAACACAAAGAATATTTTATTTTCTTAATACAATACTACAAATTGGTGAGGTATTAAAATGAAAAAATTAATTTATCCAAAAGAGCATTTAATGAGTCTAAAGAGGAACAAAGAACCACAAGTTGGAGATGCCATAAAATTCATCTAGCACTCATGATTAACAAGGAAATATGAAAGCAGATAGTTTAGAAGAATTCAATGAAAGTAATTAAAGAAAAATATTATATTATTGCTATATTATGACCAGTAAGGAAAAGTCATAACATTTTTCAACATCCAGAAAAGTATTTATAAGAATAAAGACAAAAAGAAGATATTCTATGCCAAGGATGACAAATTTGGGGCATGTGTGTTAATACTCGTGAGTACCCTGGCAGATATGACTAATTGATCACTGGACTCTTTGTGGCTGTTCCTGGAATTCTTCTCAACATATACATGGAGAGCCACTACCTTTCACTAAAAGTTGGTGCTAGTGCTGAAACCTATTTATCAAACCCGCTCTCACTGACATTGTTCAAGATGTTCAACTGGGAAACCATCCCACTAGGCAAATGGCATAGGTCTATGTGCAGCCTGCTAGGATATGCAGTCAAGAAAGGGTTACTTTAAAAATTTTTTTAATGCATGAAAATTCTTAAGAAGCAAAATGGGAAAATAACATTATAGCAGATAATATTATGATTTAGAGAGGAAAATGAATTCAGAAAAGCTAAATGCTTTCTACAATGTAGAAAAGTTTCAATTATCATGATACAGGCATTTACACAGATCCATTTTTGAATAAAATAATCACTACAAAAAGTAGCAAGAGATTGAAACAATTGGCCCCTTAACTGCAATGCCCCAGAAATTAAAGAATATTCATGGTAACTGACAATTTAATAAAAGTTTCAATAATGTATATTCATTACAGTTTAAAACCACAGGTGGTCTAATGGTATGAAAGAAATCAGAGACAAAATGAGTAATTACCAGAGAGAATTTAAAGCACCTCAATACCTCAGCAATCAAAATTACACTTTTCTCCAAATGAAGAGCAAAGCCGTTACGGTTAATTTTAACACAGTGTTTACCACTAATGAAATTAATGATAGCAAAATTTTTATCTAGAATCAAATGCTTTTAAGTCAATTCTTATCTATAGTCACAGAAAGTAAATCAGAAATACAATGATAATGTCTTATTTTTAGTTCTTAATTTCCAAAAAATAGTACCTCCAAAGAAATGAATTTTAAAATATGTGCAACTGTTGAACCATATTTTAAACAGTGGTCATAATAGTTTCAGAATAAAGCTGAGCAGTAACTAAAATGTGGGATGGGGGTTGGGGCAATTAAGTAAAAAATATCTATTAAGATAAGTATTGTACAGTTAAGGTGAAGGTAACTTTGTTTTCCTTTAATTTTATATATATATATATATATATATATATATATATATATATATATTTTATTTTATTTTATTTTATTTTTTTTGAGACAGAGTTTCGCTCCTGTTACCCAGGCTGGAGTGCAATGGCGCGATCTCGGCTGACCGCAACCTCCACCTCCTGGGTTCAGGCAATTCTCCTGCCTCAGCCTCCTGAGTAGCTGGGATTACAGGCACGTGCATATTATACAACCTCACTAGAATGTTAAAGCAAAGCCTGGACAATGATACGTTTTAGAGAAAAGTATATTTTAGTAACAAAACCAGTTAGATAAAGTCTACGACAGTGCAATCCAACAATGAACCCTGCTCCACCTTAAACAGTATTATGCACAGTTTCTGGTGCATAAAAATGGCATCAGTTCTCCACTTCATTGTGCTTACTTATACTTAGCCATATTTAGGATTTGACATTAATTCTGCAACAAATCATAAGTTGTACTGACATTTAGCACTAAAAAGCACTTTCAGTTACAAGCAACTAAAACCACAATGCATAAAACATTAACACCAGGTCACTACATATAATCAGAAAAAATAAAATCTCCTTTGAAATAACTAGCATTTATTTTCTCAATACAATGGCATAATCAGTGAAGTACTAAAATGAAAAGAAAAAATTAATTTGTCCCAAAGAGCATTAAATAAGTCTGAAAATCTTTTACCCTTTACCAAATTCAATGTCATGAATTGCTGTTTTACAACTATGCTTTTCCAAGTTTATATGTAATTTCTTTGGAAAATAAGAATAGACAACACATGAAACAATCTTATTTGATTATAAGGCTGTAGTTTCTTATATTACTAAATTGTAGTACATTCCATGTTACTGTTGTTCATGATTATTATATAACAAATTCTAACTAGTAGGCAAATCATTGTCTAACTACATACTCACTTCAAGTTAAGAGGAAAAACAAGTGTTCCTATAAAGTACCTAAACAACTAGAAGAGGACATTTTCATACAAAATACAGAAACCAACAAGAAAAGACCTAAGTTTCATGAAAATTAGCTTCTGTATCATAGCAAATACATCAGTATTCCAGCATTCTATTAATAAAACCAAAAAATGCTTTAAAAATGTTCTCCTTACCTGTGTATACAGTTTTTACTCTCAAGATAGGACATACCAGAAGCAGCATCTAGTGAAAATTTCACTAACTGTTTGAGTTTTAGTTCATCCTTCTTCTTTCTCAGAAAGGAGAGGAAATCACCTCCTAGAGGAATTAACAGATGAACAATGAGACAAAGTTATGATGAAAGGAACATGTATCATCTATTCTGATCTATTAGGAATATTTGATAGAGAAAAATGAATGCATTACACATTTGGCCATGCTTTTTGCCCAATTTGAGGTGAGGATAAAAGAAAACATGAAAAAAAAACATCATATTAGAAAAAAACACCATAATCTCTTCTACATACAGTTTAAGTACTTTAAATATTTCATACTGTACATTATCTAGGTCACAATTATATTCAAAAACATACTTTTTCCTTTAGCACTATTTTTACGAATTTGCTTCACTAAAATTTTCAATGGAATTTGATTTTTTCTAATACCAAATAAAAACTATATTATTATGAGTTAAATGAGTATGTAAAAAGTAAATTATAAAAGCTACTTTAAAAAGTAAATTACTTTGGATTAGCTATTAGATTCAGTGATTGCTTGAAAAATAAGACTATTAACACCACCATAATTGTTAGCAATGTCCAGACAGAGAGAAAAAGGAAAATGCTATGATTTTGGCCTGATTTACTCACTGACCCAGATTGCAATTTTGTGCATCAAATAAATTCCAGTGAGGTCTTAGAAAAACTTAAACCGTTATGGTTCAAGACATATATAACATGAGCCAAGTAGTAATTTGAAGTTTACTAGTAGCCACAATTTTAAAAAGGCTTGTTAAAAACGTGCAATTGATTTTAATATGGTTTTCTTGAACCTGATATATCCAAAACATTCAACATGTGTCAACTGAAAATTTTTGATATTTTACATTTAAAATCACACTCTGTGAAATACTGTATTTATTCTACATTTATGGCACATCTTAATTTAGATGTAAATTTCATCTGAAATATTTGATCTATAGATTTCATTCAAGTTACAACTGAAAAGTAGATTTACATACCCAAGATATTTCAAACACGCCTAAAATTTTCCAATAACTGAATCAATATCAGTATTTTAAGTTAAAATTAAATGAAATTTAAAATTCAGTTTTTTAGAAGCACCGGCCACATTTTAAGAGCTCAAGAGCCTCATAGGGTCAGTGGCTACCCTACTGAATAATGCAACATTAAACTTTGCATTCATTCTTAATGTAGCATTAAAACCTTCAGCTTATTTTACTTTTTACTTTATAGTTTATTGCACTATTAAAAAAAGAGTTAAAGTATATTAAAATACATATTCTCTATAAACAATCTTTCCCACTTTCTCTATTAAGTCCCCAGATATTAAGCCAGAATTTTGCAAGAAGGATTAGCATTTTATTCACCATTTCTTGACTTTTTTCCTTTTACTTTCATCATCAGGTATTTTTATGCTTTCTAAAGTAGAAAAGCTATAGAGGTGAAGACTTAATGGCTTTTTCCTTAATGAGCGTACCTAGAAAATAAACATCTGCCTAATTCTTCTCTTCTTTTCTAACCTTTTCTCTTACTCACATATTAAGTATTATACAAGTTTAGGTGAGGCATTAACAAAATCAAATAAACTAAATGCTTTAAACATAAACTTAATGGTGTCAATTATTTTCCTGTTCTTTTTAAGTAAATACTAATTCTTCGCTTCTTTTCTAACCTTTTCTCTTACTCACATATTAAGTATTATACAAGTTTAGGTGAGGCATTAACAAAATCAAATAAACTAAATGCTTTAAACATAAACTTAATGGTGTCAATTATTTTCCTGTTCTTTTAAGTAAATACCAAATATATTCAATTACTAGGATGAAGAGTGAAATAGTTTCTATCAAGCTTTACTTAAAATTTGGAAGAAAACCTGATTTCAATTGTGAAAAGTAAAATTCCACTAATTCATCAACTTTAATAGGTACCAAAATGCCTATTAAAATAGACTTGAAATTAATATTTAGTTCAAGCTATTACTTGAAGCAATATTCACATAATAATTCTTTTGTTAGAGATATGTACCTGTTTTAGAAAACGTGTACCCTTCTGGTTTTGAAACCACATAGTATCTTGTCTGAGCTATAGAATAACTTTTCAATGAAATAATCTTTTCTGCAATTTGATTTAAAAGCAGCACATGACATAACCCCAGTGTTGTTCTGTAGAATTCTGATAGTATTTTTTTCCAGTTAGCACTTTTTCATCTGCCTCCTGCCTTTTAAAAATTTACTTATTGATATAACTGCTTGTACTCCCAACTGACTACGATCATTATTCAATAAATTTTTTTAACAAATAAACTTATTCAACAAATTGCCAAATATTGTTTAATAATATTACATAACATATTAATAAAGAAAAACACAACACTTAAATAGCATTAAATATTGAATGAAAACTCATGTCTAGTAAATAAAGTACTAGGAAGGTAGAGTTATATACAATTCTTTCCAAATACTCTAACACATTCAAAGATACAGAAGGGGTTTCTGATTATTCTGTAGTTAATCCAACAATATTTCTGCCTTAGAACAACTTCTTGCTTAAAGTCATTAAATCTAGGAAACTAAATTTTAATTTATTTCCAGTTTATAGTTATTTAAGCCACAGGCATAGTAATACTAAGCAAAGGAACACAGCTCCACCATTCCACAAGCCTAGTCAGCTTTTTGCAGATAACTAGAGGGATGCAAAGACCTTGATAAAAATTAAATAATTATGAATCATTATTGAAAGCCCAAGTCTTGTGCAAGTACAAGCATTAAGAACCCTGAAGCAAGAAATAAACTCCACAGGGGGGCAGAATATGGAACTAGAGTTAGGATACCTCGAAAATAACTCACTGGGCCAGAGATATTCCTTTAGGCACAATACTCAATTATCACCATTAAGTGATGAACTGAAGATTGACATTGGATGACATAGTCTTTAATGTTCACTGTGAAGTTATTTTAGAAGGCAGAGCCTGTCCTTTTCAACTTGTTCTTTTGTCATTTTCATTAAATGCCAATATAAAAACATCTCTTATAATTTGTAATCTATGCAATACTCATTCATACATGCAGCACACAGGTATATATATAATGTATATGGATGCATATAGCATAGAATATCCTACCTGACCACTGCAATAAGGATCTTGGTGCTCAATGTGGGCAAAAAAAAAACCAAAAACAAAACAAAACCTCACTCTCCATTATTAATTCTGGCTTATCAAGATTTATTTCTATATGGGTATGCTGCACATTAAACCAAAATGGGATAGACTATTTCCAGAGAATTCTATAATAAATTCTAAATTCTATAATAATAAATTTCTAAGACAATACTTAAAATGTTTTTAATAGTCAGCTTTTGGCTTACTAGACAGATAGCATGACTTGGTGAAAAAACATGGACATTTAAGTCAGACTGACCTAGGTCTGATTAACCATGTGGCCTTCAATCATTCTAAACATCTAGAAAACATAGATTTAATACTATTTATTTCTCAAGAGGCTTTGAAGACTAAAATGTATCTAAAGTATCAAGCATGTGCCTAGTATGTAGTACACACAATAAATACTATTACTATTTATTATTGTTGTTGTTAAAGTATTTTATAAAAAACAAATGAGAAATAGTTATATTAGGGACTCGCTGTTCGCTGTATAACATCTGTTTTCCCTGATTCATCCCAATTTCCTTTATGGGACTGCTCCTCTACCGTTTTGGAGGGTATTAACCTGACCCTCAATAATAAGTGTGATCCTAGATTGACCTAACCCAATCAATTAAATCTATTCCCCTGCCCAAGTGGCTGGTTCAGGAAAAGGCACAAATTTTAGGAAGATTAAATACCACTGAGAATCAAAGATGCTTGAAGAGTGAAAAAAATTTTTTTGACAAAAGTACCAGGAAAGAAGTATAAGCAGACATTAACATGCCATCACATACTGTTGTGAAGATTGACAGCCTTAGGATGAAAGCATTCTAAGATATATTCATGAAAAGCAGAAAAGAGTGAAGGAAAGAGACTAGCCTTTGGTGACATGCCTGAGCTGCTGGATCACATACTGCCTGTAGTGTGACTTCTCTCTAGATTTTTCAATTAACTGAAGAAAGTCTCTAGAGTATTTTTATATATCTTCTGTCCCAGCAATTTAAAGATATCTACTGGATAAAATAATATCTGTATCAGAAGGTCACTTTGAGGATTAAAAATATGTATTAAATGTCTGAAACGAGTAGGGAACACAGTAAATAGAAGTGTTTATTATTGTTTGCAGCCAACTTTTAATAGGAGCATAGATGGTTATTATTTTCAACAGCTATTTCTCAAAGATGTCTGTTACTCTGTGCTATGAAAATTTGATCTTACCTGTTCTTTCAGTATTAATGGGGCTCAAAGGAACTGATCACACTAAGCATAAACTCAGTGAGATTATTATATAACAAGAATATTTATAATTTTGTTATGAGAGAAAAGGGATCATCAGGGCAATGCCACTACTGACTTCTTGTCATTGAATCATAGAGATCTTAATTTATCTTCAATCAACTTCAGAGTTTATTCAATTAAGATATATCAGTCTCCAGTGATGTATAAAATATATAATTAATTACCCTTGTTTTGAGGATACCAATTTGTTTCCTGAGAAGTTTGTTCAGTTTAGGTACATTCAATTATTCATTAAAAAATAGGCTAGTAATAAGAGCAAATACTATATCAGAGAGAGCTATTTTGGGGGCTCCATTTATGTCATTATTTAGAATTCTTATTTTTAAAATGTGGCACTTTTTAACCAGCAGTGATGAGAATTACAGCTGTTAGCCAGTCCATCAGAAATGAGGGGGAAAAAATTTGATGACAAATATAAACAATGAATGCTGATGCAAACTGCACCCCATAAAACACAGAACAGATTCCATACAATAGGATATAAACCCAAACAAGTTCCTGAAGCAGAGAGGACCAATGCAAACACTAAAGCAGAGGATACTGGCTGCTATGTATAGGGTATATTTATGCGAGATGGGCTGCACAGAAAGGGAGATTAGCCAGGAGAGGGCTCTAGTTGCTGAGTGAAGATG